CCACGGACACTCTGGGAGACACTGATCAGTAGTCCACGGACACTCTGAGAGACACTGAGCTCCTGCTGTTGTCCTCCGACCTCCAGCAGCTCCAATGAACAGTCCAGCTGGAGAGCGCTGGTGGTGGGCAGGTGTGGACGTGGTTGGAATGCACTTCCTTACAGCCATGTTGTGGCCCTGGAAGGTATGCTGTTCTTTACGCCAACCTTGTTCCATAAGCCAGGCTTACCTTGACTGTTCTCATTTTGTCTTTTGACTTAAAAAAAAAAAATCCAGGATTCCTGGCAGTCAGTGGGAGAACCATATTGGAAAAAGGTGGGATTTGATAAATCTGGAAGAAAATGACCCATGGTGTCCTTTCCACTTCAAGGAGGAAGCCCCCTGAGTCCCAGGTACTGTGAGTGCCACTGAGCAACTTTTTCAAACTTAGTGCAGTCAAACACATAAACTCGTGGGTCATGAAATCAAAAAAGCAAGCCAGCAACCTATATGACTGCTGAGCCTCTGTGTGCTGACAATGGGGAATGACAAACACAGCTGCTGAGAAAATCGAGGTTTACAAGGAGAAGGCATTTCACTTAAGATCGCCTTCCTGTTAAGGATAGCCCAGGTCCTTCACTGATTAAATCTAGAGGCATGAAAACCCAGCTGGCAGATTAAACCACTGTGCACACAACAGCCGTGTCCTTAGGTGCATTTGCACATGCAGTCTACATTTTTCCAACACATTAGCCTTCAGCCTCAGACTGTCCAGGTATTATTATATCTGTCCTTCTCTCATCTCCATTTATGACAGCCTTTTGTCCCTTCCTGCTAAATGCATTCTAACTCAAACCCTCCTTTTGCGTTTTACCGTCTTCTTAACAATAAACACATATATGTATAGTACTGCATATGCGACTACAGGTTTGCAAATGCATTTGTAACTAGTGTCATGCCAGATCCCGATTCCTCCTCTTGTGGCAAGAACAGTTGCCACCAGCTCATTCCTTTCTGCTCCTCTGCATGCTACACAGTCACCTCTTTGCACCTTTGATCTGCATTTTCCTTACCGTGCATTTTTAAAGAAAGCTTCTGGATATCTTTACAATTTAAATCAAAGATTGGGGAACAGAAGTCTTTATCACCTGGAGGTTTCAGACCGTGGGGCCCTGTCGGCTGACTTGTCGGCTGACTTATCCAAGTGCTGAGGGACACCCAAGTCACACTGAGCGGCCACGTGGGAAGCACAGGCATGAGACTCTAGCCACTGCAATGCACCAGGAGCCTCTCCTCACAGTGGCTTCCCGCCAGGCTGCCTGTCACAGCAATCCCTCCAGTTCACTGAAAGTGTTGGCAGCTGTGGCAGCAGCACCCGGTTAGGCAAAGTCTCAGATGTGGCAAATCCAGATCATATCCAGATGCAAAGAATCAGAGGACAGCCTTAGCCCCAGGCACCGCTCACATTCGGAAATGCTTTAGTGTAATCCCAGTTTCACTGGGAGTAAGGGAATTGCTTACATAAAACGGAACTGATTCGAAACCCTCCTCACTTTAAAACAAAACCCTCATTGCCAGAGCCCCATGGTTTTATTTTAAAAAATTGTCTTTTGTGCATGTGTTACGTGTATGCTAACAGGAGCCAGAAGACAGTGTTGGATTCCCTGCAATTGGGGTCACAGGTACTTAGGAGCCGCCGCATAGGTGATAGGAATCAAACCTACATTTTTTTAGAAGGGCAGCCAGTGCTCATGGATGCCGAGCCACCCCTTCAGCGTCCCCTCTCCCGACTACTTCACTAGAGGACACACATTGGGAAAAAAGCGGGGTTTGAAATAAGGCCTGTCAGCATTCACACCCCAAACCCTTCCTTTTGTTGCTGTGAAATCCCACCATTTTCAAAAGCTCTCTTTCTCTCTCCATTTCTTGATGTAAAAACAGAAAAATGCCAATCTGATGCCCGTTGTCAGTGTACAGAATGACAGGCCTTGGTGCCTAGCCTAACTCACATACGTCAAGTTCAGTATAAGATAATCACAGTCAATGTCCCTTCATCGTGAATCTCAGCTGCACAGCTGAAGAAGCCAGGCTTGGGTGGCTGTGTCTCCAAGGAGGCAGTATGTGCAGAGAGAAAAACCCAGACCAATTCTAGCAGGCTTTGTATGCTGTGTGCAGCCTCCCTGATCAGGAGACATTTACAAAGCAATGGTGTTTAACTATGGTTACTGCCATAGCCTGCAAAGACTTTCTGAGATTGGGGCTCAGCCTGGAGAACAGTGTGGTTACAAATGCATAATCCTCCTGCCTCCACTTCCCTAGGGCTGTTGTACATCACCATAGGTGGCTTTTAGTTTGGGGCCAAGATAAAGACTTTTTGTTCCCTCTTCTTATCCCTCTGTGGCATTGTTTATTCTGACCTGACTTCCAGTATGCCCCACTGACAGGCATAGGGAGTTAAGGAAATGATGCCGTTAAGGCCACTGAGCAGGATGGGTCACAGGTACTGAGAAGAGGGTAAGCAAGGGTGACAGGAACTGCCCTATCCTCTGCATAAACAAACACACAAACAAAACACGAGCTGGCTTGCACATTCCTGACTCGAAAAAAAGTCAGGAAGTAGGATGCTGGATATTTATCTGCCCTAAAATCAAATTACTAATTACCTGGAAATTTTATGAAAACAATCTGGCTTTCAGATGCTATTCTCAAAGACTGCAAGAGCCGTTGTTAAGGAGAACCCCCTGACATTTGATGTTAGGCCACTCAGGTTTCCACAGATCAGCTGTGCCTCCTATAAACATGAACCGGGACCCAAATAGAGCGGCCTCCCTTCCTTGTACGAGCTGTACCATTCTTGAAAACGATTCACAAACATTAGGACGGATGTTTAAACTCAACCATGATTTTGTCCAAGGTGTCTGGCAGCTTTTATAATAACGGCACGTTCTTACAGCTGTCTGTCATGAGGGCCTTTACATCTCACCTGGGTGCTTGGGTGCCTGGGGCTGCAGAAAAGTCCTTCCTACTCCTCTAGATCTTCCTATCAGGAAATAGGAATGCATGGGGAATCATGAAAAGCAGACACAGTTATGGAGGAAGGGAGATGGAGATGCTTGACTCTTCGAGAAATCACTGTGCGTGTCAGTGTGTGTGTTGTGGTGGGGAGTAGAGCGAGAGACTTGTTTAGAGAGCAGGTTTTGCTTCAGATACTTGCTAAATTACAGTTTGGGTTGTCATGGTAATCAGCAGAATGATTTAAACAAGTCTACCCAGAAATAGAAATCACTTGTACTGTATTCATAAAAATCAAAGAAATCTCTTTATTTAATGGAAAGAAAATTCTCAAATTGGAATGAAGGGAAACAGAGTGTGTCAGGTTCGCGTCTCTGATGAACTGCTGGTTATGACGTTCTGGAGAAGCTAAAACATGTAGAAAACTCATGGGACGAGCGCAGAGATACTTAGAGGGTAGTTTATAGGCCTGAAGCAAAGAAAATCACCGAAAAACACCAAACAAACATTCAACTTGTAAACTCAGAAAACAGAAAAGCAAAGCTCAAAATGAGCAGAAGTAAAAAGACCGGGAATCATAAAACAGTTAAAACAAAGCAATGTGAGACTTGATGATCAAATACAAAAATTTTTTTTTTTTAGAAACAGTTTGACCCAGACCAAAGGTGTGCGCAAACTAGAAGAGGCACAAAAATTACCACTACAGCTATAAATTAACTGAAAGACTATAAAAGCACCTGCAATTGGCATGGCAGCCTTAGAGTGGGTAGTTTTGTAGCAAGCATATGTGACTCAAAAAAGAAACAAAATTACGTGGTCACAGTCAACCTGATCCCTAACTGGTGGACGCCATTAGGAACATTGTAGAGAGGAGAGTAACACAGACCATCCCTTGTACTCAGGAGTGAGGTGAAAGACCTAGAATCTTGTCTCTCTTCATGAAAACAAAAACAAACTAAACCAAACAGGACTGGCGACCTTACAGGGAGAAGGAGTCAACATAAAAAAATGAAACGGGGGCTATGGAGACAGCCCAGTGGCGGAAAGCCACGGCTACCCTTGCAGAGGACCAGTGTTGGTTCCCGGCATCCAGCTGGGCTCACAATCATTTCTAACCACAGTCCCATCACCTCTGAGGGCTCCTCTGACTTCTACGACCACAAGGCACTAATGTGGTGCACATACATACATGTGAGCAAAGACTCAATAAAAAAAATAAAACATTTAAAGTAGTTAAAAACACTTTATAAATTAAAATGGACTTGTGAGTTGTGTGTAACAATAGTAATTAAAGATTAATTAAGTAAATGGGGGAACAGTGAAATTGACAAATTCAGAACTCTTATATGATAGTCTGAAACGAAGAGCTGGTAGAGTTGGACATGTCTTAATCCCAGCACTTGGAGGCAGAGGCAGGCAGAGCTCCGTGAGTTTGAGGCCAGCCTGATTTACTTAGCCAGTTCTAGGCTAGAGCTATGAGATCCTGTCTTAAATTATAAATGAAACTAAAACTAAAAATAAAAAGTAAAACAAATAAAGTCTCATTAAAAATAATTAAACATTTAAAAATTAATTTAAAATATACATAAAGGCAAGAAATGAAATGGTTATCATTATTCGAATAATTTTTTTTTAAGTTTAGATGAGACACAACAGCTTTTCAGAAAAGATTCTCTACCAGGATTTTAAGCAAACATGCTGCACAAGGACAAATGATGCTACTGTCATCACCTTGGAAACAAGACACGATGGACCATCATGCATTCCCAACTGCAGCTGGCAGTGCTGGCCGGTGCAATAAAACAGCAGGAGAAACAACAGCACCGAGAGAAGAAGCACCCTCTTGATTGCTTAATTAGAAAATACTAAGTTACGCCATCAAAAATTTATCAGAACCAGTAAGAAAAGTCTGCATAGAATTTCAGATATTTAGACAGAAGATCAACCTGGGAAACTCCATTCAGTATGTCAATAAACTGAAGCAGAACAGAAGAGCGTCCATGGTTGGAACACCTAGGGATAGGTCCAGAAAAGAAAAGCAGGGGGAGACACTCTGAATGGTCGGACGGGTCAGCGGCAGGCATTGCTGATCAATGCCGTAATGCAGAAGCCACAGCCTAGGTGGGACAAGCTCCCCAGGGGCATCTGTGCACGTGCTTCTGGGCAATGTCCTCAAAGAATGTTTCATGAAAATCAAAACGAATACAGAACGTGGATGAGAGAATAAAAAAAACCAGAACAAGGGAGAAAGCTAGACTCTCTTAACAAGAATCAAGTCACGACAATGTATTATTGATATAATTTCAATCAGATTAAAACCTGGAGGGGATTGAGCACAGATGTTCAAAGAGCAGGGCTCCTCGAATACCCAAGTCAAATATAAAATCGTTTCCATCCCTCATCTGGGAAGTAATATTCATGATTTGTTGAAGATCTCAGAGTTTTTAGAGGGAAAATGTAAAATAGTCTTGTAATGAGATCAGGCCCTGCAGTAAGGCTAGAGTATGCTGCTGGACATCCAGGCCACGGTGCAAGGCTGCCTTGCTGGAAGAGTCGCTGCTTGGTCAGAGAAATGCAGACTCATGCTTTGACTGCAATTCTGTCACAAAAGCCCAGCCCAG